CTCCCAAACATGATGTCCTTCTCCAAGGACCAGCCTCTCCTCACAACATGTCCAAAGTATGTTAGACGGAGCCTCAGAATCCTTGCCTCCAAGGAGCCACCCAGTTTACCCCTTTCCAGGATGAATCTGCTTGTTTTCCTAGCAGTCCATGGTACTCTCAATACACTTCTCCAGCACCACAGCTCAAAGGCATCAATTCTCCTTCTATCCTCCTTGGTCATTGTCCAACTCTCTGATGCATAACAGGTGATTGCGAAGACCATGGCTTGTATCAGACGCACCTTAGTCTCCAAAGAGATACCATTGCTCTTCAGCACTTTGGAGAGGTCCCTAACAGCAGACTTTCCCTATCGCAATATGCCTTTTAATTTCCTGGCTACTGGTGCCAAGAGTGTTGACTGTGGAGCCAAGCAAACTAAAGCTGTGAACAATCTCAATCTCTTCACCATCCATCCTGATGCTGCCAATTGGTCCAGTGGTGAGAATCTGTCTTCTTGACATTGAGCCTCAATCCATATTGGAGGCTGCAGTCCTTGACCCTCTGAAGCAAGCGCTTCAGATCCTCCTCAGTTTCAGCATCTGAAAAAAAAAATAGATGCCTTTGAGTTGTGGTGTTGGAGAAGAGTATTGGCTATACCATGGACTCCAAACGAACAACCCAAGTCTGTGTGGAAGAAGTGCAACCAGTGTGCTCCTGAGAGGCAAGGATGTCATGGTGTCAAAAGGAACCATTTCGTGTGTGTGAGAATTGTGGTGGGAAGACCCTGAATGATATGGATTAACATGACTGCAACAATGGAGTTGAACATGACAGAGATTATGAGGATGGTGCTCACAGGGTCACCATAAGTTGTAGTCGACTCGATGGCACCTAACAACAACAGAGTGGTTGGCTGCTAATCAAAAGGTTGGTGGTAAATCACCTAGGAGGAGACCGCCTGTTTCTCTGCCTTGGAGCAGCTGGTGGACCCGAACCACACACCTTTTGGGTTGGTAGCAAGACTCCTTAACCACTAGGTCACCCTGGCTCCTATTTTTTAAATTTTATTATTTTGTGTGTGTGTGTGTTCCATCAAATCGGATCTGACTGGTACAGGAGGACATTGTCCCTCCTTCTCCAGCAGAGCATCTGGTGGATTCGAACCATGTACCTCTGGGATTGCAGTGTAGCTTCTTGCCACTAGGCCACCAGAGATCCCTCATGGCTCCTATTTCCACTGGGTCTTCAAAGGCCATAAATCACACAGGAGGGGACAGCCCATCTGTCTCCTGAAGAGCCAATGGTGGATTTGAACCACCAGAGAGGCATCGTCTTTGGGTTAACAACGCAACTCCCTAGGGACTATGCCACCAGATGGCCCTCTTGTTGATATCGTGACAGAAACAGGCAAAGCATGAGTGTTTAATAGTTTGTTCTGGAAAGGGTTTTTTAAGAGCCCAAACACCTCAGAGATAACTTCGTGTTCAGTTCCAGACCACTGAAGTAGAGACAATATTGTGATAAAGGAGTCACACGGATTGTTGGGGTTTTGCTGCCCACCGCGTACAGTGTGCTCACACTCTCCTGTAACCTATTAAGTGTATATGCATTATGACAAAGCTTGAAATCTTGCAAAAAACGTGACCGAGATGTGAAGTGACCACGTGCTGTTGGAAACATGACACTGATGGACTTCCTTGTTCCAGAGTCACTGCACACCTGCGTGTGTTTGTTTAAAGAAGAGGCAATATCTGCAGGGCACACTAAAGTGAAGAGCAATAAAAAAAGAAGTGTGCCCAAACCAACTACGCGATATCATCTCACCCCAGTAAGATTAGCAAAGTTTGACAGAACAGCAAACAACAAATACTCACGAGGTTGTGGAGAAACTGGAAGCCTTATTTGGTGTTGGTGGGAATTTAAAATGGTACAACCATTATGGAAGGTGGTGTGGTGCTTTCTCAAAAAGCAACCATTATGGAAGGTGGTGTGGTGCTTTCTCAAAAAGTTGGAAGAAATACCATTTGACCCAGCAATTCCACTACTGGGAAAATACCCCAAAGAAACCAGAACTGCCACCTAAGCATACACACACACCCCCTATGTTTACTGCAGCTTTGTTCACAATAGCAGAGTTGGAAATAACCCAAGTGTCAATCAACAAAAGGATGGATAGAGAAGCTCTGGTATATTCACAATGCAATACTATGCAGCATTGAAAAACAAGGAACTCATGAAATATTATACAAAATGGGTGACCCTGGAGGACATTATGGTGAGTGAAATATCTCAGTCTCAAAGGGACAAATATTGCATAGTGCCACTGTTGTAAAACGGGGCTAGGGGGTTAGGGGGAATCTAAGAAAAGAGGCAATAAATACTGTATACTGCACTGAAACAGATGAGGGAGAGAACTGTTTGAAAGGAATATAGGAATAGGTATTATTTTCATGACAAGAGTCCAGAATGAGAGCTTCATGGGGGAGTGGACTCAGGGAAGATTGTATCATTTTTTTTTTACATTTAAGAGAAAAATGAACTAGGTGGAGGTGTGGGCAGGGTGGAAAATGTGCAACAATGAATGAATGGAAATCCAAAGTCTCTATAAACTTTCATGAAAATTTCAATTAAAAAAGAGAGAAGTGTGCCAGTTCAGAAATTTACTAGAAGCTACTAGTAATGATAGGAGAACTGATGCCTTTGAGTTGTGGTATTGAATATATTATGGACTGCTGGGAGAACAAACAGGTTTGTCCTAGAGAGGGTGAGATCAGGCTGCTCCTTGGAGGCAAGGATTCTGAAGCTCCATCTGATATACTCTGGACATGCTGCAAGGAGGGACCAGTCCTTGGAGAGGGACGTCATGCTTGGGAGGGTGGAGGGACAGCGCAGGAGAGGGAGACCCTCGCTGATATAGACTTATTCAGTGACTGGGGTAATGGGAATAGGTGTGTCAGAGACAATGAGATTGGCACAGGATAGAGCAGGGTTCAGGGCTATTGTACAGAGGGTCACTGTAAGTTGTAGACGTGACAGCACGTAACAACTGTCTAAGGGGCTCAGGAGCCTTGAGGTGAAAATGGCTAGCAAACCTCTGGATATGTGAGCCAGGTGCTTAGGAGGAAAGGGGGGGTGGTGACATCCTAGACTGAGGACTTGCCCCTAAAGAGCGGAGCTGAATCCGGGAGCATAGGAAGCACCCACATTTAAAAGTATAGACAAGGAGCCAGGACTGAGGACAGGTGCCAGGAGGGTGCAGGAGAACCAGGCTAGTGCAGACAGAAGGGATGAGAAGTAGTGTCATGTGCTGTGAGGCTGCGCAGGGGCCAAAAACTGTTCATGACATTGGATTTGACCGTGAGGGACCAATGACCTTCAAATACTGAGTTTCTGGAGGCAGGTAGAGAAACCCGATTTCAGGAGGGGCCAGAGATGCCACTAACCCATGTAGCAAATTTATAAACATTTGCCAAAGGTGACAGTCCCCCTCCTCAGCCCCCAGATGCTTTACTTACAACCACCAGGAAATTGTCATAATAAACCGATTTTATTAGAAAAGACACTTTAATGCCATCTGCTGGAGGCATGTAGTAAATGCACCTGCACAACCATGAAAGGTTCCCTCCAGAAAGGAGAGTGGCTGCTAGGAGTTGACAGCGACAGAAGAGGGAGAAGAGCAACCAGGGGAGGTAGTTAGGTCAAGTGCACGGCTTGGTACCGAGGACACGGTCAAGGTCCTGAGGCACGGATTCACACCAACCGAATTCACTAGAAAGACATGGTTGTTTCCGAGGCTGACACTTCTTAGCCTTGCCCCCAAACTTGACGGGAACCCGGGCCCTTGGCTCAGGGGTTGACTTTATAACAGGTTGACAGAGGGGGGCAAGCAGTGGCATGGAGACAAGACAGGCACTGAGGGAGCACTGAGGATGGGAGACGAGGAGCAAGGAGCAACTTGATAAAGTCTTTCTGAAGGAGCCATGGCATGAAGGGATGGAGTTGGCAGCCCCACTAGATGAGGAGAAGTCAGGCTGCGCAGATGGGGTGGAGTGCAAGCTGGCCAAGGGCCCAGTCTCCATAGCTCCAGGATTATCTCAGCAACATCAGCCGGAAACGTCAGGGGTCAACTGAATCTCCGGTGGTGAAGATGGTTAACGTGTCAACTGCCAACCAAAACATTGGAGGTATGAGTCCACCCCAGGTGCCTCTGAAGAAAGTCCTGGCAATATACTTCCCAAACACATAAGAGGCTGCCAGGAGTCAGAGTTGTCTCGATGGCAAATGGCTTTTTAACAACAACAACAAAAACAAGAACAACAAAATAATCCAGAGGGAACCCAGGACCAAGGGTGTAGGCCAGGATGCCAAAGACAGCTGTCCTGCAAAGGGCTGGTATTCTTAGGTGTGGACATTCAATGAACTCAGCCCCAAGCAGGGATGTTCACGGCTGTACGGGCTGTTGACTTCTCTCCAGACCCAACCTGTGACTCATAGCCCCAGAGCAACTAGAATGACATCATGCTTTTCCCTTTAAGACACAGGCCCCCAAGCTTGTGGTGAACCCATGGAAGAATCTCACAGCTCCACCCCGGTTCCTCCTCAAGAAACTAAGATACAAACTCACAAATACACACAAATACATACAGAGATATTCACATCTGCGGTAGCAAACACCCTGTGCAGGGGATGTGACTGGTGAAGTGGAGTCAGGCAAAAGGCCACCTTTTGCTAAGCCCCTGCACCGGGCCTGGCCACAGACTCTTCCCTGGCCCGTGAGGTCTGATCACCAAGTCAGGCTATCAGCCTGACAAGAGCACATCCCCAAGGACCCTTGAGAGAGGGTCGTGGGCTGCTGCCAGGGAGGCTCAAACTGGGCATGGCTTGGCTGTGGTGATGCCAAGCAGGGGTGGGGGCTCAGCTGTAAGGGCAGGGTACTCAAATCCAGCCTCCACTAGAGGGAGACCAGGAAAAAACTCCTGCTCACTTTGGCCTATGGGCCACGCCCCCCCCCAACTTTTGCTTATATGTCATGGGGCTCCATCTTGATGAGGGAAGTTGGGTTGAATGGGGAATAGGAAGCAGGGGTAGGGGATCTGGCCAGCAGGCTCCCGGAGGTGTCCACACTAGACTCAGCCATAAACAGAGACCCTGAGCTTGAGGACAGCTCAAGTTCAGCCACTGGGGTCAGCCCAACAGTGGGGCGGCTGGGTGGAGAGAAAGTCTGGTTTCCCGTAAGGCTCTGATTCTGGGAACCCTTTGAAACCACATGGGTTGGGAGTGGCTGAAGGTGAGCCTGATCTCTCAGGAGCTCCCTCAGGGTCTCTTCCGGGACCAGCAGCCCTTCCATGGGAGCCTGGACATAAGAGGAGGACCTGAGAGAGCCCTCCTTTACCCCAGGGGCTGCTGTGGTGCTGGAAGTCCTGATGAAGGCAGCAATCACAGTCCCAGGGGGCTGAGAGCTGGGCCCAGCTGATGCAGTGCCCGCAACCGGGGCTGGCACAGGGTTATTGGGGCGGTTGGCCCCAGCCAGAAGTTGAGGGAGACCACTGAGAATCAGTGGAGACCCTGGTGCTGCCACCTGGCTCTCTTGGAAAGTGGTGTTCAAGAGGAAGGTGTCCTTGAAGGGTTGGCCAGGTTGGACACTCTGGAGAACCAGCTGGGTTGGCGCAGTAGTACTGGTGGACGGCCCGCTGGTGAGCACCGTGGTCAGTGGGATGGTCTGCAAGGTCAAGGCCGAGCCTGACCCCATGGGTGCCACTCCCAGGTGAATGCTGCTGGGCACTGTAGAAGTACTGAGAAGAAACAGAACAGACTGGGTTAAGACAGGAGCTGTGCCCCGAGAGCACATCAAGAATTATGCTGAGTGAACGAACCCAAGTCTCATAAGGACAAAGACTGCATAAGACTCTTACTGTAGAAACAGAAGGAAAACTAGCAAAACATGTATGAGAACTCAAGGCGGGGAGGGAGGGAGCCCAGGGGTGAGGATGGGTAGGGGTGAAACCACAGGGCTGCACAGTTTGATGAGTAGAGGGAGGTGGCAAAAGAACTGGGAAGGCTCTGGGCGAAAAGACAGGGTAATGGTGGGCAAGGCCAATGGGGATTAATTTTGTGAAACACAATGTGATTGAAGACTGGTGTGAAACACAATATATACAAACTTTGTAAGCAAGACGGTAAAAAAAAATTTTAAAGAGTGCCTTTGAGCCTCTTCCATTTCCTTTCAAGAAGAAAGGTCTGATACAATGTTGAGCTGGAACTTTCTAATAAATCTATCTTTACTCCTTTACCTTTTTGCCTTAAAAAAAGAGTGTCCCTGAAGGGGTTTTGGTTTGTTTCCTTGTTTCCCCCACTGCCCTTTGAGTAAGTTCTATCTCATGGCAACCTCGCGTGGTGTGGGTTTGGACTGCCAGACATGTGCAACTCCCTACGGACTCCACAGAGTTTCTTAGCTCTCATCTTTTATCGAAGCAGGCAGCCAGCCAGGCTTCTCTTCCACAATACTGCTGAGTGGGTTCAAACCATCAACCTTTGGGCTAATTGGTGATGGTGGGTAGTGGTGTTAATTGGATGTGGCTGATGGAATCGAACCACGTGCCTTTGGGGACTGCAGCACAGCTCCTTTCCACTAAGTCACCAGAGCTCCCTAAAAGTGCCCAGAGGCTCCGAATTGCCGACCTTTGCGTTAGCAGCCAAGCGCTTAAACAAAGAGACACTAGGGCTCCTTGAGGGGTCGATAGTTGAGTCTTTACACCTCTTGGGGACCTTGTTTTTGCTAACATTTATCATTTATTAAGAACTTCTTATAGGTCAAGGATCATTCGAAGAGTAGAATTTCATCCCATCCCCACGACAACTGTATAAGACTAATAACCAGATTTTACTGCCTCTGGCCCCTGGGGCACAGAGAAGTTCTGTAACTTGTCTGAGAGCACACAGCTAGCAAGGCATAGAGCGGGGCCTCAGAGCTGGGCTTGCCCCTCACCATGCTAGTCTGCGACCTCCCCTTTCTCAGAGGAGTGCCCCCATGAGGGGAGAGGTACTGAAGCCAAACCCAGAAAGGGAAAACTGGGGCACCTCGGCTCAGTTTGGAAGCAGAAAAAGCTTTCCAGCAGGGCTGAAGTTAGAGTAGACATCTCCACAACATTCGCTGCTGCCCCTTTTCTGGAGGGACAGAGACTTGAGGATATGGGCCCAAGAGTGGAGGGTCTTGTTGGCCAACCTGGGGGGAGATGGCCCGTGTGACAGAAGGAGCCCCAGATGGTAGCAGAAGCCTCCCTCCAAGTCAAGTGCCGGCCTCTGCCAGTTTCCTCCCTTGACCCACAAGTGCCCTTCTGACTTCCCAGGGATCTTCTGAGGGTCCTGTGAGGCCAGCGCCCTAGCAGAGCTTTACAAGGAGCTGAGCGAAGATGGGTCCCTTCACCCGAGGGCCGCAGAGAATTACAAGGGTTGTGCCCTTACCTCACGGCTTGAGTGAGCTTGGCCTGGCTCTCCGGTGGGGAGACAAGCCCAGTGGAGGTAGTGGGGGTCTCCTCATCTGGAGACAGTCCCAATTCCAGACTGGCAGTTGGCTGCAGCACAACGTGCTGCATATTTGGCTTCTCCCAGGAGGGGCTGCCCTTGCTCTGCGGAATGACTCGGGATGAGACCCGGGAGCTGCCTCGGCGGGCAGTGGCGCTGGAGGACGCGGGGGCCTGGGGGGATTCGGCCACCACGACCTCGCCCGGCTCTTCCTCATCTTCGATCACCACCAGGTCCTTGGGCATCTCCTTGAATTGGTACACCAGCCTCTGCCCTTCCACCTTGGCAAGGATTCCTCTTTGGTAGTAATATCTGGGCATAAGAATTGAGGGGTATGGAGTGAGTTAGGGACTGAGTAAGGAGCCCCCTCTCTCCAATCTCCAGGATGGGAGAGGCTGAGGACAGAAGATCAAGGCCAAGGGGAAATACGACTCCCAGACCTGGAAGCCCCTTAGGAAATGCCCAAGATTCTCCTTCTTTGAGGACTCAGTGGAGGATGATGATGATGATGATGATGATTTTAAAACCTATCGCCATTGAGTCAGAAGTGACTCATAACTGACCCTCCACTGGGGTTCCGAAGCTGTAAATAGCAGAGGATATTGCTCATCTCTCTCCCATGCTGGTTGCTGGCGCATTGATACCAGAGAGGTGCTGCTTTTGGGTTTACAGCAAAGCCCCCCACAGACTATGCTACCAGAGCTTCCTAAAATTCAATCCGGAGATGCTGGGAATTGAACCTCAGATCTCACTTATGTGAAGCATGCACTGTTTCAAGGAGCTACATCCACTACCCCTAGTAATCATCATTCTTTTTATGTGCTATTGAGCTGAAAGTGACTCCAGCGGGTTTTCAGAGGCATTAAATCGCAGATTGTCCATCTTTCCTTCTGCCCTGCTGCAGTGGATTCAAACTGCATGCCTTTGAGTTGGTCGCTTCACCCTTTACCACAAGCCATGAGGGCTCCCTTAATAATAATTAGGAGTTGTTAGAACAGTCCTCACCTTGCTTTGTGGCCAAGGACAAGGGTGAATAAGGGCTGGAAATACGAGTGAGGGGGCAAATGGTCAGGTTTTAGACACTTCCCAGCCTGAGAGGCGAGCCCCAGCCTGGGAGGCCTGTCTCCCTGTGTTCGTGGCCAGCCTTTTTGGGAAGGGGAAAGCCCAGAAATACTTTTCCTGCCTGAAAAAAGAGGTCAAGCTAGGCAGAGATGCAAGAGAGGGGTCCTCCCTACCCAGAAGTCCATGCAGGCCTGAGGAAGGGATGGGAGGCCTGTGAGACCCAAGTCTTCAAAGGACTCATCAGGCCTCTAGTACAGCAGGGCATAGGGCTGCAGCACTTGGTAACAGTCGGGTAGGGAGGCAGGGGTCCTGCACCTACCTTAGGGCCCGTCCCATTGTCTCATAGTTCATGTCAGGCTTGTTTTTCTGCTTCCCCCACAGCTTGGACACCGCTTTAGAGTCTACCAGTTTGAAGATGCCTTTCTCACGCTGGGTCCACTTGATGTACTTGGGGCAGGTGTTTCTGTCTTGCAGAAGGGCCAGGAGGAACTCCCACAGGTAGATGGTGCTCCCTGCAGGCAGATGGCAGTGAGGGGCCCACACACCCAGGAGGCAGAGAAGGGGCTCCCTTTCCCTCCCTCAGCCTCCGAGCCAGACCTTTGCCATCCTTGGATTTTTTCCGTATGGGGATGCTGGGGTCGGTGACAGGTGAGGCACTTCGGTTGCCTTTGGACTTCCGGACTGTCAGGGAGAAATGGGAGAGCAAGATGAGTCTGAGCTGCGAGGGAGGGTGGGACAACGTGGACAAGGAGGGGGCAAGGCAGGGGGGCTGGAGGCCCAGCTGACAGGGATCTGCCCCTGCTCAGTGGCCCCCCTTTTACAGACCCAAAGGTCACATGCAAATACAGGGTACGGGAAGTGTGTTCTAAGGTGCTGGGGAGCACACTCCCAGCGACCGCGCATGACAGAGCACTGCCCCACAGGGTTTCCTAGTCTGTCATCCTTACTGAGGTAACTTGCCAGGTCTTTCTGCCGCGGACCTGCTGGTGGGTTTGAACTGCCAACCTTCAGGTTAAGGAGCTCTGTTGGCTTAATCTGTTAGGGAGATGTGCTGCTAACCCAAAGGCATGTAGTTCAGATCCATCAGCTACTCCGTGGGAGAAAATTTGGCAATCTCCTCCCATGAGGTTTACAGCCTTTGAAAACCCACTGGGGCAGAGGGATGTCGGCTATGAGTCGATTTGGACTCAATGGGAATGAGTGAGTGAGTGACGTTAGCAGGCAAATGCTTGACCCTGGCGCCACCAGGGCTCGGCGTAGGGGAGGGAAAGTCTAGGGTCTGCACTTGAGTCGCCTTCCTAAGACCACCACCCACTGCCTTTACATTTTGCAGTGGCAAGGCAGCCTCATGCAGGCACTGGGCTTCAGCCAAGGATACAAGGATGTATCAGCCAAGTATTACCTGAGTAAATCAATAACATCAGGCTTTGGGAAAGCCCAAAGTCCTCTCCCAAGTGCGGCCTCAAATTCATAAGCTCCAAAGAAGGAAGAGACGCACATGGCATATGACTTGTCTTTGATAAACAGGGTGAGGCCTGCCGCCCCCTGCCACCCCGTTCCAGGCCATGATGCAAGCCTGGGCTCTGAACTGCCAGCTCAGTCCACTGCACATCTGGGAGACTCAGAGCCGTGCAGGGCAGATAGGAGCTGAGAAAAACAGCCACTGGGGGCAAGGCAGCTGTGAGAGCCAGGTGTTAGAGGGGCACCTGTCAGGACCATTGTGGACCAGAGAGCTGAGCACTTAACATGACCTTGAGCTTCAGCCTAGTCCTTCCTCCTGGATGGGCTCCTGACCCTTACACTCACCACCAACCCCTCCCAGACAAGCACATGCACACACACTCACTTCTCTTCTTTGACTTCCCAGTCTTCTTGGCATTCTCATCTCCGAGGCTCATCTCTTCCAGAGACTGTCCCTCCTGGTCACCAGTGTCACTTTCCCTGTTCAGGGTCATGTGGCTGGGCATCGAGATGGCTGGTGCCGGGTTCGAGTCTTGAACCACATCAGAGGTGCTGACTGGGAGAGGAAAGAAACACCTCAGGTAAAGCAGGGTGCACTGCAGGGTCTCCCAAGGCGAGAAAGAGGGGCAGGCCTGTGGAGACGGTATGTATGTGTCAGGTCCAGAGCCACCCTGATTTCGTCATTCACTCAGTTTACATCTCCCAGCTCAGCCATTCCCTGTATGTCCATCTGTTCATCTCCCTGGGAACCAGGCAAGGGAGTGATGAGACCAGAAAAATCACTGCCTACCATTTATTTGTCTCCAGTGGTCCCCAAAGCCCTCCCCTTTCCAGTAAAGAGTGTGTCTCCATGCACAGAGATGGGTGTGCCTATGTACACACAAGCCTCAGAGTCCAGTAATATCAGGTGCTGGGTTAAGAATGAAATTTGGGGTAACCTTGAATGGTCAGTCAAGGAAGGGCAAGATGGTGGGGTTCCAACTTACAGATCTGCTTCTCATCCAGGACCTCATTGGGAGATTGTGCATTGAGCAAGACTTCGGTGGTAGACACGGTGGGCAAGGTGGTTTCATTGTCATCTGAGAGCCAAGTCCAAAGGGAAGAGAAAAAGCCAAAATCCCCCCTGAGGACACAGGGCTCAAGGCAGAGGATATCCACCCAGGGGATGGCGTTAAGGAGCCAAGTTCATGGAACAGCCTAGAAGAATCAGTGCTCTTCACCCTTTTCACCACTCACTCCCCTCACCAACTCTAGAGATCAGGAATCCTCTCAGGAGGCCCCCTCCTCTCTGAAACGATAGTACCTTAGTTCATCCTAGACACCTTTTCTAATTTCCAACTGTTGGGGGCCTTGCCTGTACCATCCAGAGCAACTGGGCACCACTCTGAGTCCCAGAAGATAGAACCCTTCTTCTCAACTCCTCCCCGGGAAGGGGAACAGACCTGCCAGCAAAAACCTGCCCTCCACGATCTGATTCTCTGTCATGCACACGGTCCTGTCCGTCAGAATGCCACTGTGACCATCGTCCAGCTCCAGGCCTGAGTACAGATGCAGTAATTCCGGGTAGGGTACCTGCTCCACGATCACAGCTGGGAACACCGAGGGATCTTCTAACTGTGGAGAAGAGAATCATCTGGTTCAAGGCCCAGCCACCTCTTCTAGGAAGCCCTCCCTCTGAGTCCGCCCCTCTGCACAATTCCTAATTCCTGGAGCCCCGGGGTGGGGGTGGGGGGGGCTATCCTCTGTAGAGGATGGTGTTGCCCAGGGTTCAGCATCAACCAGGCAATATTTTGAATGGTTTCTTCCCCTCCCCCACCCCCAAGTGGTTCAAAACTAACACAATTATCAGACAGTTCTGGGTATCAGAAGTTGGACACATAGAGCGGAGGATTGTTCAGCTGGCTACAATCAATGTTAGGAGGACTGTGTTCCTTTCCGCAGTCGCTAGGGGAAGCATCACTTTCCTCACCCTTTCCATGTCCCAGAGACTTCCCACATTCTTTGGCTTGTGGCCAGTTCCTCCATCTTCAAAGCCAGCAACACTGGGCTAGCTGTCATCTCTCTGGTTGTTCCTTGTATGCCTCTCTCCTTAACTTATAAAGATTAGGACCTTAATGATGACATTGGACCCATCTGCATAGTCCAGGCTACTGTCCTGATCTTAAAGTCAACCGATTAGCAGTCCTTATCTGCAACCTCATTCTCCTTTACATATTGGTAAGTTCCAGGGACTCACATTTGGGGGCAGGCGGGGCATTCTTCTGCCTACCACAGTCCTGTTTTCACGGGTTTTGTTTTCTAGTTCTTGTTCAACCAATTCCTTATATTGCCGGGTGCCATCAAGGCAGTTCTGATTCATTGCAGCCCCACAGAACAGAACAGAACTTCCCCATAGGGTTTTCTAAAGAGCTCTGGTGGCTTAGTGACAAGAAGCTGCACTCTAATCCTGAAGGGACAAGGTTTAAGGCCACCAGCTGCTCCGAGGGAGAAGGATGGGCAATCTCTTCTCATGTGATTAACTGCCACTGTATTAAACTGTGCCCCAGCCCATAAAATATGTATCTACTTGGCTGGGTCATGTTGGGCCATTATGTAATGATCTTGTTTGGTATTTATGTACTGATGTAATCACTCCACGATATTTGCTAATTGTGAGAGGATTAGGGTGGGATGCAACACCCTTGCTCGGGTCACAATCCTGGTCTGATACTAGGCAAGCGTGGCCTGCATTGCCTTTCATCTCTTAGAAGGAAGGTAGGTGGCGGGGGGGGGGAATGATGAGATGAAATGAGAGAGAAGCAAGCAAAGAAGGAGTCTGACTACCAGCAAAAAGAAGAGCTGGGAGTGGAGCGCAGCCTCCGGATCCTGCCAGGACACATGGAGCTCTCTACAGAACTCCGGGCCCACAGCTATTGAAAGGAGAAAAGAATCTTCTCTGAGCAAATCGTCCCCTAGAACTGGTTTTGGAGTTCTAGCTTCTGGTGGCCTAGTAGTAGTAAGGAGCAGCTCTGTCAACCTGGAGGCATGCAATTAGAATCCACCAGCTGCTGTGTGGGAGAAAGCTGGGCTATCTCCTCCCATGCAGTTTACTGCCTCCAAAAACCCAATAGAGGGCCAGCTACGGGTCAGTTCCAATGTGATGGTACACAACAATAACAGCTTCCTAAACTGTCAAAGAAGAAATCTGTTTAAAGCCTTCCCATTACAGCAGCACTAGAGAACTGAAGCAGAGCTGATGGGTAGGTTCAAACCACCAACCTTGTGGTTAATAGCTGAGCACTTAACCATTGGCTCACCAGGACTCTTTGTATTAATTCTGCTTTTTTTAAAGTAACTGGATCTTACCTGATCCTGCCGCTCTTGGTTATTGCTTGTTACATAAATGCTTTTACACATCTCTCTCTCATACTCTCACTCTCCCCACCCCATCTGTCTATTTATTAACCAGCCAGCATACTGAACTAGGTTTGCCAGGCATCCAACTGTATCATCAGGAAAGAAAATGTTAATTTCCCATTTTGTTGTTGTTGGGTTTTGTTTGCTTCCTCTGACTCTACTATATATATGGTGCATATATATGTGTATATATATAATATATATTATATACATGGTGTATATATATGTGTGTGTGTGTGTGTGTGTATATATATTTGCAGCTAGACCTAAGTACGATCACAGCTGTAGTAACATGCACTCGCCTATATCTGTCCCCTCCTATTTCCAACCATTTCGTTCATTTATTTATCTTCTTCTTCCGTTTTATTGTCCAATTCATCCAGAATAAAGTTCAATGACAGAAGTGGCCGGTGTCTTGTAGGATTCCATGCTCACACACTGGCATGGGTTCTCCATGGACAGAAATCAGGCGGCCTAGACCATGTGCTCTCATTCTTAAATGCTTGTTGTTGTTATGTGCTGTCGGGCTGGTGCCGACTCATGGCTGACCCTCCAGCAGGTTGTCAGAGGCTGCTGACCCAATAGGAGGACACTTGCTCATCTTTCTCCCTCTGGATTCAAGCCACGTGCCTTTGGAATTGCAGTGCAGCTTCTTGCTACTAGGCCACCAGACCTCACGCATAACTAAGTAGTTGTAGCTATGTGTTATCTGTGGCTAGGGTGAGAACGTGAGCTATGAGAATGATCGAGTGCCTTCGGAGAACAGTGGGAGAGGACGGGTCAATGACAAGGATGGGGAGCTCAGAGCACAGACAGCTTAGGGTTAAGTCTGTGACAGTGACAGTGGCAATGGAGATAGAAGAACAGAAATATTACAGAGGTGGACTAGCCAGGGTGTAGTAACTGCTTGGAGCAGGAGAGGGAGTCAAATGTCCTCATTTGAGTAGATGGTAGGGAGTGAGGAAGGGGATAGAATTCATGTTAACGGAGCACCAAGGAGGAAGTGTACAGCTTAGTTGTTGATTTGGGGATTTTAGTGGGTTTGTGACCTAAGAGACCCTTTGCTTTATGGAGCAGACTTGCTCCATTCGGTTTTAAAACCCCCAAACGAAACACAGTGGTGTTGGGTAGATTCTGACTCAGAATGACCCTCTAAGCTAGAGTACGACCCCACAGAGTCACTAAGGTTGTAAACCTTTATGGAAAGATTGTCACATCTTTCTCTTGCAGAATAGCTGGTGGGTTTGAACCACTGACGTGTTAGTTAGCAGCCAAGCAGTTAACCACTGTGCCATAAGGACTCCTCTAGGCTTTCATTGGCTATAATCTTTACAGATACAGATTATTGGGCTTAGTTAATCTGTGGTACCACTGTGTTTTAATTGCCAGTCTTTTCGTTACTGGCTATAAACCAGTTGGGTCATTCCAAACCAGTCTTTTCATTACTGGCTATAAACCAGTTGGGAGCAGTTTTGTGGAGAAAAAGAACGGGTACAGGGTCTGGATATGGGGAGTGTGAGGTACATTTGTGGAGGATATGCCTATCCGTGGAGCCAGAAAATGGAGATGCCGATCTGTGGAGGCAGAAAGAAGTTCCTGAGAGCTCAAAAGGGAACTGGGATCCCTAAACCCCTTTAATGTTGTTGGTAAGGTGCCCTGACTTTACTATGACTCACAGCAACCCTATGAACCTATCCTGTGCCGTTCGCATCACCTCTCATATGTCCGAGCCCACTGACTCTGTCACTGTATCAATCCATCTTATTGACGTCTCCCTCTTCTCCTCTGACACTCCATTTTCCCCAGTATGAGATCTTTCCCAAGGACCGGTGCCATGGAGTCTACTATGATTCATAGCTACCCTATGAGCAACAGGTCTGAACTTCGCCTTATCGTTATCATCTTTGTGGCACCTGAGCCCAATTGTGGTAGTGACTGTGTCAGTCTGTCTCCTGGAGGGTGTTTCTTTTTTTCGATGACCTCCTACCTTTCCATGATGTTCCTCTCTAAGTACTCGTTATTCCTGGAAATATATCCAAAGTAAGTGAGAGGGAGTTACATCAGCCTTGCCTCTAAGGCATTTTCTTTAAGACAGACTTGTTGGTTCTATTTGACAGTCCATGGGATATATAACACCATAATTCAAAGGCCTAGATTTTTCTGTCATCTTTATTCATTGTGCAACTTTCAAATGCATAGGAAACAAATGACCAAACCATGACTTGGATCAGGTATACCTTAGTCTTTTAACTGTCTTCCTGCTGTTTAGCATTTTGGAGAGGTCCTTAACAGCAGATTTCCCCAAAGAAACACATCTCTTGATTTCTAGGGGGGTTATTTTTAAAATCTTTTGATTTTTCGACTGCTGCTACCCTGGGTCCTGGTTGTGGGTCTAAGGAAAATGAAATTGTTGACAACTGAAATATTTTCTCCATCTATCATGAGGTTCTCCATCAGTCCAGTAGTGAGAATTTTTGTTTTCTTAGTGTTGAGATGTAATCCATATTGAAGGCTTTAGTCCTTGATCTTTTGCAGTAAGTGCTTCATTTTCAGTAAGCAAGGTTGTGCCATCTTCATAATGCAGGTTGTTGATGAGTCTTCCTCAATCCAACTTCTCTGGTATTTTATTATTGCCTTAAATCTATTCTTAAGATGGTTTTAAAATTCAGGGACATGCTTTTTTGTAAAAAATGAAATAAGTTCAATTCTTCAGTGGTTCAGGTGCTTCTGAGCCACACGTGGATAAAGGCACTGGGCAGCATAAAATGGGAAGATTTCCAGCATCTCAGGGAGATCTACTGGATTGAACTTAATCTAGAAGCTGACCACCTGGATTTGTAGGCAAGCTTGGTTAAAATAAGCTAAGACATTTGGCTAGTATCTTAGGCAAGTCATCTAACATCTCTGTTTACTCGTCTGTAAAATTGGGGTGATCATAGTATCTACCCTACTGGGTTTCTTAAATGGCTCAATACACATCAAACACACAGAACAAGATGAGTGCACAAGATGTTAGGTCTCAGGGGCGCACCTGAGAAATTGGAAATGCTTCATTTCTTAACTTGGGTGGCTAGTATATAGGCGTTCATTTTAACACTGTCTTGGAACAGTATATCTATGACTGATATGCTATTGGGGTTTTTTTTTAATGACCCATTTCACAATACCCATTGTTTTCCCCCAAAACAAGCAAAGGAGAGATGAGAAAGAAACAGAGGGTGGAGATTACCCTGGGGGAGGTGGGAGGGAGAGAAGTTAAGAAGATGGGGTTTTGAAGGGAGGAGCGGGGCAGGGAGAAAACTTTGAGGGCTGGGAGACTTGAAGATGTTCTAGGTTGAAGAGAAAGGTCTTAAAGGTCTGAAGATATGAGAAAAAGGTGAGGCCATTGATGGCTTGAAGTCTTGAAGGAGATAGACGAGACTGTGCACAGGTAGGAGGGATTATATCCTTTGGAAGGACAAGGGGCAATCTTTCCTCTCAGACTAGAGCAAAGGAAGTCAGAACCGGGTCAGGTGATTAAGAAGATGACAGGAAGGAAACTGAGGCCATCCTTACCTTTGACTTTCTCTGTGCATTGGATGAGAGGTCGTTTGCTGAGGGTGAAGGGGCAGGCTTGGGGCTGGGGGTTAAGAGCAGCCTCTGTGAAACACAGAACGTGCTTCTGAGCGAGTTGTTGCTAATTACCATCAGTTGAGTCTAACTCATGGTGACTCCTGGACCATAGGATGGTCAAGGCTGTGACCCTGCAGAAGCATCACCAGGCCAGACTTCCCAGAAACCTCTCGATGAGTTTGAACCGCCAACCTTTCACCTAGCAGGGCCCTTAACCATTTGCACCACCTGGCACTCTCTGCTGAGCAAACTACAATCAATTGAAAAATTACAAGTAGCTTTGAGAGCCTGGGAAGGTTACTTTTTCTTCTCCTTCTGCCTGCATGGTGCCTTCCACTTGGCTAAGCACACCAGAAGGTTTTAATCAAACCTCCACAATGATTAGGGATCTCTCCTGGCTGGAGTGATAAGAAGCTGCACTTCAATTCCAAAGGTGTGCGGTTCAAAGTCACCAGTTGCTCCACGGGAGAAGGATGAGCACTCTCCTTCCGTGTGATTTACTGTTTCTGTAAATCTGCTGGAAGGTCAGCTATGGGTCCGTTCAGACTCAATACAATAATCACAATGATTAGAAAGAACGATGTGCTTAAAGGCCCACTAGGGGGCAGCCTTTGGCAGGCCACAGGAGACTGGGTAAAAGTTTATCCCCACAGAGATTTAGGATAGAGTTAGGCACCGATACCCTTCAAAATAGAAAAACGCCAAACTCATTTCCACTGAGAGGATTCCAACTCCTAGCGACCCCTGCAGGACAGAAGCCGACTGCCGCAACCTTCTCCCACAGAGAGATTCGAACCATGGGCCTCTTGGTTAGCAGCCAAAAGCATAATCACTGCACCACCAGAGCTCCTAGAAATGGATCATCTCACCTTTATGAAGAGAAGGATTTGGGAGTTGGGAAAAGATGGGAATGGGGCCTGTCTAGGTGACACAAGGGCACCATCCAATGTGGACGTGAAAGTTCTCAGAGGATAACGTGCCTCCTTCCCTCCCACCAAAAGACCCCCACCCCGTTTCCAGATAAGACACGTGTCTCAAGACACGCAGGGCTGTGTACCGCCCTGCGGCTCCTGCCAGCTGCCACGCTCTCTATTTCTTACCCTGTGGTCTCCTTAGCGTCTCTCTCACTGTGACACAGGGCAGCGGGTGGAGGTGACACAGGGCAGTGGGTGGAGGTGACACAGGGCAGTGGGTGGAGGCGAGTGTCTGAAAGATCACCTGCTTGTCAGGCTACACCTTGACCTACTGGGCAAGCTACTCTGAGGGCTTGGTGGCTGCACATGCCACACAGCTGCACGGGACAAGGGGCTCACTTGACTGACCACCCCGTGACTCCTTGGAGGGCCACACTGAGCGACTAGCTAACATACAGTCGGGTTGGCAGGCTCAGAGTTCTAAGAATAGTAGGTGCTTGGTCAATATCTGCTGACTGGCCTTCCAGGTCACACTTGGCTGGCTGCCTGTTCATCCACATTAGTGGACAGCACTTTGGTCTCTGGGGTCATCCATACCTGGTGGATGTCATCCATCCCGTTGCTTGCAAATTCAAAGACCAGGTCACTAGGCTGTACGGTAATAGCCATGCTGCTTTTGCAGAGAGCTGACAACGGGGTGTGCCCGGCTCTCTGGAGCTGCTGGGCTTCTCCTGAAGAAGAGGGGAGCTGGGCACCCAGAGCCTACCCCCTGAGCAGTGGAGATCCCAAGGCCGCAGAGAGCTCAGGGCCACATGCTGGGCTGGACCAACTGCACGAAGGACCTAGGAGAAGACAGAGTGAGTGAGTAAGGAACCTTCCTAGAATGAACCTTCTAGGACAGCTGGTGAGCCAGAGGGACCTGACCACGCCTGGGCAGGCTGCCAGGCAAGGGCACTGGGGGAGGGAAGGGGAGGGAGAGGAGAGGCGGCAGGTGGGGAACCAGGGAGAGGAAATCAGCCCATCACTTTCCTTGGGAAGTGGCCAAGCCTTGGTGCCAGCCTGAGTCGCCAGCCTCTACATCCTGAGTCAGCCAAGGGAAGACACAACCTCCCACTGCCTCCCTCCCTGTCTTCCTCCAAAGAAAGTGACAGGGAAGAGCTTTGAGCTCTCTCTCCCCACTCAAGTCTCACTGGAAGCATGAGGAGCCCCCATCATCCCCTTGGCTTGGACAAGAATCTTGGGTGAGGATGTCCTGGGGCCATGTAGGTGGGCAGAGTCCTCACCCCAGACTCTGCCTGGCGTCAGCTGCAATTAACTCCAGCACCTGGGGAGCAGCTCCCAGGGAGAGGTGGAGTCTGCAGAGGAGGAAATGTCCTGCCATGGGGGTTGTGTTGTGTCTGGGACTATATGGCTAGAGTCAGCTCTGGGGACAAAGCCTCTCCAATTTTGGCCATGCCTCCAAACAGCCTGGGGACAGAGGGCCAGGTGGGCCATGTGTCCAGGCGAGGGGGGCTCACCAGTGTCCTACCACTACCAGCGCCCCAGTGCCGAAGTAGACAGGGCCTTTCCTGCTGCGGCGTGTGTGGGTTTGTCTTCTCAGTTCAGCTTTACTTTCAGTTTCAAGGCTGAACAATCACCCAGGGAACTTGCAGGGAGAGCCTGGGTTCCGCTGGCCCTTCCCCTACTCCCTTCCCAACTCCCTGGGGCTGCCTCAAGGCTGCATCCAGGAAATCTCTGCTTAGCTGCTCACAGGTCATCCTTGCCCCTTCCCTCCGGATTCCGCATCTCTGCTCCTCAGAACTGTCACCCCGCCTTGCTGCTTTTCAAGGTGGTCTTGGTGATCATCCATGCCCACTTCTTGCAGCCCTCACACCTGCCTACCTTCATTCCCAGACAGCCTGCTCTGTCCATTAGACCTTCAACACTGTGTCCCCATTTCCAGGGAATTTGACCCTGTGATGGTTGTGGTTATGTGCCCTTGAGCCAATCGCTCTAAACCCTGTCCTATCCTAAGCCAATCTCATGGTCTCTGACACACCTGCCACTGTCACTGGGTCAATCCATCTCTTCTAGGGGTCTCCCTCTCTGCGCTGTCCCTCCACCGTCCCGAGCCTTCTCGGGACACCCGGATAAATGTCCTTCTCCAGGGACCTTCAGACAACATGCCCAAAGCATGTGAGAGTGACCATTGTTAGCTGCCTTTAACTTGGCCCCAATTCATGGCGACCCCATGCAGAGTGGAACAACACAGCTTGGTCCTGTTGCCTTTCCCACTACTGAATTCAGTCACTGCTGTGGTTTGAAGGGCTTTCGTTAGTAAATTTTCAGGAGTAGATCACCAGACATTGCTGCCTAGCGTGAAACCTGGTTCAGCATCATCAGAGCACCCAAGGCCCCAGTGAAAGGCCGGCAGTGCTGGAGGTGTGCTGGCCAGGAATTCGAACCTGGGTCTCTTGCATGGAAGGTGAAAATTCGACCTGTACTGCCCCAATTTGGCTTGGAGGGTTTATCTCAGTGATCCTGGCAGGTGTGTGGTGCCCAGGCAGACTTTCCATTACCAGGGTGGTTCAACCTTGAACGCCTGAGAGATTGGGCCCACGCACACACCGCGGACATAGCACGCTTGACCTCTACCTCCCTGACACGCCCAGGATACAGAACCTTCTCCCAAACTGGAAAGAAATGAGGAACTGCAGAAAGAGGGAGAGGGGAGGGGACCAAGGACCACGGGTGACCTCCCTGATGACCGCTTTCCCCCACAGGAGACACCCAGACCTCTCCCACTTCCTTTCCGTTAGCCCACAGGGCTGGCTCCGCCCTCTCCCCACCTCCACCCCACTCCCACACCTTTCCACCCATCCCCACCCAAAACCCTCGAGAGAAGGCGCTCAATTCAACCTGGCAGATCTGGGTTTACCTGCGGATGTGTGACAGGTCCACACACACCCCGCAGGGACAAGAGGAGACACTTGGGCATTTTGCAGACTCTGAACACACCCCAGACGGATTCTGATGGCTAAACCTTGCAGGGCCATTTATGTTGGCCAAGTAAGTGCCAGGTGGGGAATTCTGCAGCTCCCCATCCTTCCCAGACCTGTCTGCCCCCAGCAGTTCAGCCTTGCAGATTAGATGAAAGGGAATCTCTTTCACCCAATCTCACTTTGTCCAAACAATGAACTCCTACAATCTGCCCTCTCCCTCTGCCCCCTGGCTGCTCAGCCAGTCCTCCCTGCCCTCTCCCCCTGCCCCCTATGCCCTCCCTGTCCTCTGGGTTAATTAATTTCTAATTTCTTGCTCACATCAATATTTTGTGGGTTTGCGAGGTCACAGGATCTGCCCACTGCCTGGGGCAGCCATGCACCGGTCTACCTCCTCCAGTAGAGGACAAGTGAGGACAGGGACAATGGCGCGCTGGTCACTGGTGAAGCTTCAGTACCCTCCCTGCAACCAGGTCTGCCTTGTGGCCCACGTGGAATGCATGTGTGAATAAATGAGCGGGGCAGGAGGTCTGTGTCTCCTTGGTAATCCCAGATTGGGGTTGATCCCACCTGACTGCGACCCCTTGTGACAGAGCAGAATGGCCCATGAGGCTTCCACAGGCACAATCTGTGTGTGAGCACATTGCCAAGCCACTGGATGGGTTCGAAGTGCCAACCTTTCACTTTGCAGCCAAGGGCTTTGACCTATACGCCATCCTCTATGTTTGTGTGTTGCTTGTTGTGTAGAGGCATGCTCTGTTGCCGCAGATAGTCACACACACCACGAAGAAATGAACTTGTTGCTGAGTGTGGGAACTCGTGGGGGAGGGCCCCTCTCTGGCCTCAGCACTCACCACAAGCCGAGTTGTCGGTTCCTCCTCTTCCAGCCAGCCTCACTGCTGCATGACAGTGACAACCTGGCTGATGCTGGCTGTGGTGAGGAGAGGGGTGGGTGGGGGGCTGCCCCGGCTGCCTGCCTAGCGACACCACCCTCCCCCAGCAATTCCAAGTTGGATGTTTCCCAAGAAGAGAGTGCCATCACTAAGAAGTAGGTGACTGAGGGCTCTGGGCCCCTCAAAGACCCACTCAGCAGGGAACAGGCGGGGGTGGGGGGAAGGAAGGCCACATTGGGGGGAACCTTTGGTAGCCCACACGAAGAAAAAAGATTTGATAAGGAAAAGGCTGGTCCATCCTCCTTCTCCCATCTGTCCATGTGTTTAAAGGCCCACATTCAGGACATCGCCCAGGACTGTAAGACTGTACCTAGTACCCAAGAATGACACTGGGGACCTAGGTCTACCCCAGGCTCCAGCATGCATGGAAGTGGGTGGAAGGTAGAAGTCTTGGTCAAAGCTAAACAAACTCCCTCCGGAATGGAACCTTCCAGGCCAGAAAGCTTCCCCTACCCGCTTCAGATGTTTGGGGATTTGAAAGTGAGAGGTGGGGAGCTGCTTGTTTGCATGCTCACTCACTCTCCCCTGCAGAGGAGTGAACCCCTTCCCTGGCCCTCTCCCAGGAACCTGAAACCAAAGAAGCCACCACCACAGAGGCTTGCCCTGCTGGAGGCCTGAGAGGCCCACATTAGGGGCTCCCCTCTTGCTAGGCCCCAGCTTCAGTGGCCTGGAGCCCTGGACACTGCCTGGCCACCGCTGGCTGCTGAGCTGGGTTGGGGGTGGGTGGGTGCTGGGGGTACACGCAGAAGCTGGGATCAAGGAATTAAACAAGCCATGAGCCCTCAGCAACTGCTGGGGAATTCCACTCCAACCTTGTCAGCACAGCATTGTGCACAACTGGCTCCAGTCAAAACCCAGGATGGAGAGAAAGAGACAGAGAACAAGTGAACAAGAGATATGGAGAGAGTATGTGTCAGAGAGACAGAGATGGTGAGAGAGAGAGAGAGAGAGAGAGAGATGAGGAGAGAGAGAGATGGTGGCAAGAGAGAAATGGTGAGAGAGAGAGATGGGGGAAAGGAAGGGAGGGAAGGGGAGGGGGGAGAGAGAGAGGAAGAGAGGAAGGGACGACGGAGGAAGGGGGAGAGAGAGGAAAGAGAGAGAGAGAGAGATGCAAAGGCAATAGAGTTCAGACAGAGATAGAGAGATGGGGGTTGGGGAGAGACAGAGAGAGCGTGCAGCAGTGCCCCCCCCCCCAGGTCCTGAAGGCTCACTGAGGTTGGCCTCTAGGGGCTGCAGAGGAAACTTTTGCGGGAGCTGGGGGAGGGGGTTGGGGTGGAGTGGGGGTGCTGGGTGTGAGCCGGTGTACTGCTGGAGCGCAAAAACTCCCCTGCTCAAAACTAAGGCAGACCCAAAGTGGTTTGGGGCTGCTCCCGCCTCAGCCCAGCTGGGCCCCCTTCCGACGCACACAGCCTTTGGGGTCTGTGACTGGATCATGTCAAACAGTGGCCAGCACCCACCCGGCAGGGCCTCTCCTACAGGAAACGTGAAAGCCACGTCCACAGTGCTGTAGCGTGAGTTCAAACTGACACCCTGCCAGCGGAGCCAAGGACTCTCACAGACTTGCTGGTAAAACCCGTGGCATTTTCACCCATGCCAAGAAACATGGGGGCCAGATGGTCAGCAGGGCCACAAAGCAGAACTCCCCCTCCACAGTCCCTCCCTCAGTCCAGTCCCCTGTGGGCTGGTCCTCACTCCTGAAATACCTCGGTCCTCCATGCAACCTTTCTGGAATTCTCTG